ATTCTGGATAAGTGAACTCAGAAATCCCAATAAAATCCAGACAAATGAATTCTGAAATCCGGATAAAATCCGGACATATACAGGGTGCTACAAATTCGAGGTACGAGCACTGGTATCTCGGTAACCGTAATAGATACGAACATGGTTAAATTGGGGCAAAGTTGCGCTTTCGGATGTTCACCAAGATGCCATCAAAAGAGTTTTAAAAATTTCAAGGATTGCTGAGTTTTTTGGAAAAAACGGATTTTTTTGAAAATCAGTTTTATTTTTTCCTGTCGTTACTTTTTAGAAAATCAAGAAACTAATTGCACATTCTAATAGCCACTTTATTAGAGATTTCTGATGGTATTTTTAGATTTTCAAATTAGCTGATAATTTGTGAGATACAGAGGCCAACTTAATTTTTTTAAATACGGACCTGCATTTTTTATTTTAGATTTTGAAAGAACTCGGTCTCCTGAGTACAATGATATGCACACACTTGATACTTTTTTTTTGTTTTGGGTAGCTTAACAATAACAAAACTATTTAATTGTTATTTAAAATAATTTCAAATCCGGCTCTAGTTTTTTAATTTATTTAATCTAATTATATTTATCACAACAATATTGATCAGCGCTAACTAACATTGAATAAAGAAAATCAATAAAAATTATTTGGACATTTGAAATCAATACATTTCAACATTAAGCGTACGAAAACAATTAACTCAACTAAAATGCATTCGGAAGTATAAGAAGAAGATCTGTTCAAAGAGCTATAAATAAGATTGAATGAAAAACAAATGTGTGCATTATAGACGGTGGTAACCCTTTCGGACATGCAGAGTATTAAAAACTAGTTTGTAGAAGTTGATTTATTTATAATAACTACGATTAATATTATGCACATTATTAGATCGTACACTGAGATTTCAAATTCACAATAAAAAAAGTTAAAAATAATAGAAATCTTTAAATTGCTGACCTGGATATTAATTATTTGAATCTTTCAATGGGCGTGATTTTCTTTATTCAATGTTAATTAGCGCTGATCAATATTGTTGTGCTGAATATAATCAGATTAAGTAAATTAAAAAACCAGAGTCGGACTTCAAATTATTTTAAATAACAGTTAAATAGCTTTGTTACTGTTAAGGTACCCAAAACAAAAAAAAGTATCAAGTGTAGCATATTATTGTACTCATGAGACCGAGTTCTTTCAAAACCTAAAATAAAAAATACAGGTCCGTATTTAAAAAAATTAAGTTGGCCTCTGTATCTCAGAAATTATCAGCTGATTTGAAAATCTAAAAATACTATCAGATAACCCTAATAAAGTGGCTATGAGAATGTGCAAATAGTTTTTTGATTTTCTAAAAAGTAACGACAGGAAAAAATAAAATTCATTTTCAAAACTGTTTTGATGGCATCTTGGTGAATATCCTAAAGCGCAAGTTTGCCCCAACCATCTTCGTATCTGAAAAAAATTGATTGATATTACGATTTCCGAGATACCAATGCTCGTACCTCGAATTTGTAGCACCCTGTATAAATTGCGAGTGCACCAAAATCGAAAAATTTGAGCGCCAAAGAATAGAAATGGGTACTTTCGAACATACATCGCCGTGGGTTAAGTAGAGCTGTAGCATATCATGTAAATGAATAGGACAATGCACACTATCCGTTCCGTTTCCCTTCCGTTCCATATCCTTTCCTTCAATACATTTTTTTGGCGGATGGACTGAAGCGTATCGGAAACAGGGTTGTCAAGTTCTTACATTTGTACCAGCTCTGTGTGTGGCTGATATTTATTTATTCTTTCACTTCTTAATTAAATCTATCACCTTTTATGAAAGATAAAAATTTTTAAAATAAAACTTTCGTAATTATATAGATTGCACAATAAAAAGTATGGAACTGATACGGAACGGAAGCTTACGTATAGCGTCAATACCATAGACTTAAAATGTATTTTAAGTCTATGGTCAATACAATAAAAAATACGGAAGGGATATGGAATGGATATGGAATGGAAATGGAAGGTATAGTGAGAATCAACCTTTAATCGGAAGTTGTTGCTAATTTTATTATCTCGAATAAATTCATCTACACAGAGGGCTCTTCACACATTATTTACACAGCACAACGGTTTATAAATAGTTTTTTTGTTGTTAGCCTTTAAGAAAATATTTTACTCTACTTAATTTTTTACGCAAATTTATTAAATATTATACAGGGTGCTAACTAAAATTAAGTTAACCAAACGATAGAAAGTCGATTTTTTAAATGGAAACAACTTATTATTTTATTTGTCGTAGCTGCTTTCGGTAAACTAATAAAATAAGACAATGATCATGAGTCTGTCTGATCTAATAGGGTTGAATTAAAAAAAAACGATAAATGTCAGAAAATGGCAAATACAGATAGTCTCAAAATACAGCAAAATTGTTGCCGATTGGTTGAATTCATCAAATATATTGTCACGAGAATTCGACATTGAAAGTGCGCAAAGTTTAATAAGAATCGATTTAGTAGAATTAGAAATACTTTACTAATTTTAAAATTTATGTACGTAGGTACAACTTAAGCTGAAGCATTTAGAACCCCGCAATTCGTGGAATAAATTAGTGGTTTCATGCCCACTTGCACCGTTTGTATAAACTTTGTTTAAAGGCTAAACAGCGATTAACTATATAATATCTTATTATAGTTAATCACTGTTTAGCCTTTAAACAAAGTTTATACAAACGGTGCAAGTGGGCATCAATTACATTTTATACTTTTTAGTTTACGATCACGTACAATGTTTAAAACATAGTTTAAAAAACACAATTAAAATTAATAGAATATCCTAGCAACAGCTTGCGTTAGTCAGTTGTATCCATAGAAAGCCTAATTAGTCTAAGAGCTGGCTACATAAAAACCTTATCATCGTTACATAGCTAATTTTTGTGTGAAGTATCCTTTTGTGTAGCCATTATGAAAAAAGTCATGTTTTGCCAGCGCGATCCGGGGCTTAAAACTGGGGCGGCCAATCGAAAGTGAAATTTTGACACTAAAAATATTATAAGATACATGAGTTATAATTGCGAAAATAGCTTTTATTTATTATTAAGAAACGTGGAAAATTGTTGGCAGACATTTTTCTACTCTTTAAAATGTCGACAGACAACGCAAAAGAGGCATGAAATTTTAAAAATTATTAAAAAATGAAATTTGAAGAATGAAAAAAATTATGGAATATTTGCATGCCGATTGGTGAAATGTCATATTTATTTATTTTAAAAGCCGTATGCAAAAGGACAGACAAAAAGATCGTGGCTCAATCAGCTGCAGAGAGTTATCAAAAGCGCGATATTTATCTAGCGCTTTATTCATGGAACGCTGGCCGCCTCATCCATTTAAGTATAGATAAATCATATAATATACGATTATATTATAAATATATTTTTTTATTATTTAAATAACGATTTTTTTGTCTGCCCTTTTGCATACGGCTTTTTAAATTAATTAACAATAAACATGACATTCCACCAACCGACCTGCATGTATGGGATGATTTTCTTTTGTCAAAATTCTATGCCTCTTTCGCGTTGTCTACCGGCGTTTCAGCCACGAGAAAAATGTCTGTCAACAATTTTACACGTTTCCTAATAGTAAATAAAAGCTATTTGGCAATTATAACTCGTGTACCTTATAATATTTTTAGTGTCAAAATTTCACCCTTTCGATTGGCCGCCCCCGCTTTAAGCCCCGGGATTGCGCTGGCAAACATGACATAGTTGCCATAATAATGGCTACACAAAAGGATACTTCACACAAAAAATTAGCCATGTAACGATGATAAGGTTTTTTTATGTAGCCAGCTCTCGGTCTATAATATTTAGCTTATAAAACATCAGCTTTTGATTTCTAACCACAATTTCTCTTGACGGAAGATAATCAAAGGCCAAAATGACATTTCTCGCAAATTTTGAAGTATAATTAGTGCAAAAGTTAGAAGTTTAACAACTTTTTCTACTAATTGAAAATATCTACCACTAATTTTGACGTTCTGAATGCTTACATTGAACTTAAAGAAACAAACTTCTATGCTAATTGAAACCACTAATTGCGAGGTTCTGAATGGAGCTTTGTAGAAAATAACAACGCCAGATAAAATAAAGTATTGCAAAAATAAAAATGTCACCTCATTCCAACCGCATCTATCAGGGAAACAAGAATGTATTGTTTTAATTACACACAAACATCTGTTTTATAGATCACTCGAATAGAATGAGTTTTTTCAGTTTTTCAATTTTAGAATAGCTAAAACCAGTTACATGCTTTCTGTTTTTTGCTTTTCATTCTGGAAATGCTGTTCTGTTTTTCATTCTAGACACGCAAAAAACTACTTGCCGAAGTGTACCATTTTCATTTATTGATAAAATATTGTAAAATATAGCAAGATTTAAAAAGCACTCAGCAATTGGAATTCGTAAACAGGCGCGTTTTTAGCTTAAAACGTGTTTTGATTCTTTGGTTACGTTTGTTTTGGTTTGGTCTAGTTTGTTGGTTCATTTTGTTTATTTTCGTTTTTTTCCTCGGTACAGTATTGATGTCCCAATTACAGTATCTACTAGGTTAAGTTCATACCTACACAAGAAACGTGTTTAGAATGTAAAGTAGGAACACGCTTTCGTGTAACTGATTTTAGTTATTCTAAAGTCGAAAAAAGAGAGATTGATGCCTTTCCGCAAAGAAATGTTTATGATTTTGTGTTTGGAGAGGCTTCTATATACTGGATATTTTGTTGTTTTATTTGAAAGTGATTTCAACTAAAAACTTCATCCGATAAAATAAAGGATTGCAAAATAAAAATGATTACTCATTTCAACCGCATCCAAATCAGGAAACCAGAATTTATTGTTCTAATTGCACACAAACATCTGTTTTACAGATCTCTCGAACAGAACGAGATAAAACCAGACCCAGATCAAGCTAGAAGGAGATAAAAATAACACAAAGTAACAGACTTACCAGCAGCGTTTACAGGAACAAATATAATCTTGGGCACGATCGACGCCATCGTCGCCACTTTCACTCGAAATGCCGCTCGGATTTGATTCAAAACGCAATGATCTGCCCGCTTTTAGTTTGGAGTAGCTGCCGTCTTACCGATCGATCGACTAAATGAGTAAAGCTGTTTGACGTTCCAATTTTTTGTATCTTTTTCGCCTGCTTTACGTCGAACGAGTTACGTAACGTGTTGTATCTCGGTGTGTTCTTGAAGATTTCTTCGGTAACCTGTTACGAAGGATGTAGCGGTGTGTGACGTGCAGCACACAAACACACAAACAAACAGAGCGCTGCGATTAAGAATGATCCGTCGATTGTTAAAGCCGCGGTTTTGTTTGGAAATATTGGATGTTAATAAAGGTTTGGAATGTTAATTTGAATAGTAGTCGTAGTGAATGGTGCATCACCGCACCGGTTTAAGCTATAGGGACCGGTTGAAAAATAATAAAGCTCATGTTTCGTTTACTTCAAATCGGTTATGTAAAGAAATATTTGTTTATTTAGTACCTACTTGGATGTCTTTTTGAATAGTATGTCATAAAAAAATCTGCATCATTTTCAGTTTTTCAACTTTAGTGAGAGCGCCCAACAAAGTGACGTAGCATCTGACGTGGTAGGTAATCTGGCAAGTAACATGCATCTAGCAAGTCACGTCGAATTGAATAAACGACAATAAGTGTGTCAGCCTTTGAATAAGAAGACTAAGGAAGGAGCATAATGCTATCCATATATTCATGCATGGTGGGAGGAATACATGAACGGAGGAATAAAAATGCAATAAATTTAAAATCTGCGTAATTTTCTAACCAATCGAAGTCTTTAAATTCGACCAATAACCATCGATTTTTCAAACCACTTTTTAATATGTCCTCGTATATTCACAAAAATAAAACATAACTGTTTAACTTTTTTCTAGTAATACACCATAATTATTCGTTTATTAATAGTCTTATTTTGACCATTTTTACGTTTATCCTAGATAATATTAATTATATTGTTCTACGGCCCTGCTAATGAGATGTTAATAAAAATTTCCGTATTGTCAGCGTACTAACGATTGCTGTAGTCTAACGATCCATTTATTCATGAATTTTACTTTGCACAAAAAAAAATATAGTTGTCAATTGTGTAATTTTTTCTGTGTTTATTATTCAACGATTTTGATTTGTAATGTAACTTGTTTTAATAAAATGAAATAACGACTAAAAATAGAATTTGTCTTGTTTGAAAAAATGTCTATTTTACTGTATTATTATTATATACACTTACTATATAATTATTTAATATTTCGTCATCAATTCATCAGTTTTTACGATCACTGATCACAATATTACTACTGCAAAAAAAAATTAATTGATTATTTTTCGTAAAATCTCATTATATGAGTCATATTCTCTGCGGATTTGGCCTGTGACGGGCTTGGTCCACCACAGACTTGGCCTGCCGCAGACTTGGTACGCCACGCAAACACATAGTTTTTCAGCAGGCCAAATTTTCTGATTTACCTATTGGGTGCTATTGACTTCTGATCCAATATAATATTACTTTGAATGTGGTAGGCAATGATTCAGTATTGAAACTCAAAGAATTTCGAACTCAAAAAGAACATTCACCCATGAAGAAGTTGGGTGCAGTCAAGCATGCGGTGTCCACTGAGAATACCTGCATTAGTGCGTTTTATGAGTGGTTGCCATATTGTTAAAATTTCCATATTTGGATAGCTAAAGATTTTATTGTTGCTAGATATGAATACGGCCTCTTTAAATTTGCGCTTTTTCCAATGGGGTTCCTTGTGGACCACCCGGGCCTCCGACCATTTTATGTTCTGGTGCTTGGACCACATATGATCTGCAATACCATGAATACCTTGACTTCATTGTTTCACCACTTTGAGTATAACCTTTATGTTCGTCCAGTCGCACATTTTGAGGACGTTTTGACTCTCCAATATACGACTCACCGCACTCGCAAGGTACCTAGTAGATGCACCCTTTTTCTTGGTTTGATGATTCCGGTTTTGTTTTTGTTAGTGTTAGTAGACTTCTTAGACTAGTCTGACACTTAAAAACAGTTTTAACTTTAGCAAAGCAGTATAAAATTAAACTGTTTTTAAGTCTGGGCTTTAAGAAGTGTCCTAACCAGGGCCGTTCCTGGCGAGCGTGCAATGCGTGCACGCACGTAGGCGCAACATTTTGGGAGCGCAGAATCGAAGTGTCAATCAGTACTTTGTAACAAAAAACCGATACGCTTTCTTGTTAATAAACAAATACTTAAACATACAGTTCGTCTGCTGGATCTGTGTCTATGAAAGGAATGCGGACAAAAAACATTTAAATAAACAGCAATATATTTTATACGTCGACTTGACGAGTACGTCACCGCAAATCGCTCCGCCCACTCATTTTATTGGCTACTTGCAAATTTGTAGAATTTTTATTGATGGGACGCGTCGTCTAATTTTTTACGAAAAACATCGAGAAAATATCGTTTCCCCTCTCACGGATACCCCGTAGCCTCAGAATGGACAGACGTACACATCATAGGATAAAGTTTGCTTAGCGTCTTTTTTGCGTTGGCCGCACCGAATAAACAAGTCTATGGCAATCTCTCGGCAACACATTGATCTCATCGATTTATTTTTCATTTTATTCATTTTATGGAAAGCACTGTTCATTAAAATGTTGTATCCTATGTTATAGCGCTTGTTTCTCTCTACATTTCCTGTCTCACAATATACCGTTTGTGTCGGGGAAGGGATCACAGTTTCATAGTTGTCGATTTTCGACAGAAATCAGGGCATGTATATTATTTTGTATATTTTTCATTTTATTGATTTTATGGAAAGCACTGTTCATTAAAATATTCTATGCTATATTATAGGGCTTGTCGCTCTACAATTTCCTGTCTCAGAATGTACCGTTTGTGTCAGGGACGGGATCATAATTTCATAGTTGTCGATTTTCGAAAGAAATCGGTACATGTATATTATTTCGTATATTTTTCATTTTATTGGTTTTATGGAAAGCACTGTTCATTAAAATGTTGTATCCTGTGTTATAGGGCTTGTTTCTCTCTACAATTTACTGTCTCACAATGTACCGTTTGTGTCGGGAAGGGTTCATAGTTTCATAGTTGTCGATTTTCGAAAGAAATCAGTACATGTATATTATTTCCGATTTTTAGTTTATTGTTTTTATGTATTTCATATAAAATGGGTGAGTTTTTTTCTTTAGGGTACTATTTTTGTTACTAAATATTTTTGTGTTTTTGTTTGTTTTCTTTATTTAATAAATGATTTTATACTTTAATCATAATAGTTTTTTTCCAATTACATATTGCTCATTTGTCGCAGAATATAAATTCTTTAAATTTTTGAGATTAAGATTAAAATATACATACAATAATTGATTTAAATATAAAAAGGGCGTACCAAAGAATGCTGCATGTACAGGCGCCAGATACCCCAGGAATGGGCCTGGTCCTAACAAAGACAAAACCAGAATCACCAAACCAAGAGAAAGAGTGCATGAGTTAATCACAATTAATAGAATTAAAATAAAAATAAAATTAATGAATTATTTACTTATCTAATTTACCTACAGCATATTCAAAAAAGAATAATGGTATTTAAGATAATTTCAAAATACCTATTTTTAACATTTTGTTAAAGTTTTAAAATCTTGTAACTTTAACACGTGACATTTTTTAATTTTAAAGGTTGCTATTAGACTTGGCTTAAGGCAAATTAATAAAATTGCGTTTATCTCATCAAGGAGATCAAAATCGACAAAATATCAAGAGACAACTTTTAATCGGCATTAAACAGTCTACACAATTTTGCTAACAAGAGAAAAAAAGTTACTGGCGCACATTTTTTTATTAGAAACACATTCCACTGATAACCTGTATGCACGTCCCTGGTGAATATGTCGACACTTTTTTAGCATTAAAATATATCGCGCTTATAGTAATTTTTACTCTCAAAATTTCATTCAAATCGCTAAAGCACTTGTAAGAAAATTACAATAAATCAAAATATTAAAACTTTATAACCCCCTGTAGTTACGAAATAAAGCAGAATCCTAGACCTATATTGATATAAAAAATGAATCTTATTTTAACTCACACATATTTTTTATAACACTCCGGATATGAACAAACTAAAAATTTAAAACATTCTTGACACTATGGTGAAGTAAAAATTTAATTCATTACGAAAAAACAAAAATAAAATTGTTTTAATTCATAACGATTTTAGAGCAACAATGTAATAAATTATTAAATATAATATATTTTTTTAGTTAACATTCCTACAAAATTTTGTACATATTTATACTAATATATAAAATCCTTAAGTAACTTCTGATTAATCACGATCCTGCTCCAACCACCCAACGTAAGAAGCTCAATTTTGGCATACAGGTTGATTCTAGGGTGTAGAGGTTCGATAAGAAGGGATTTTTCGAAATTCTAGTTTCAAGGGAGTGAAACCACCCCTCACCCCTCAAATATTACAATATTTTTTATTTAAAAAACGGTCAAGTTTCCGAAAAAACGCTTAAACACGATATTTTACTTTTTTTTTACATATTTTAAGACTTTTTAAAAATTTATACTGGGTGTTTCGAAAAATCTGGTCATTGATTAATCACGATCCTGCTTAAAGCGCTTGACGTAAAAACCTGATTTTTGGAAAATGGATTGATTTAGTGTGTAGAGGTTCGATAAGAAAAGATTTATCGAAACTCGAATTCTAAGGGGGTGAAGCCACCCCTCAAATATTAGAATATTCTGTATTTCTTCTGTATTTTAAAACCGGTGAGTTTTTCGAAAAAAACTCTTAACCGCGTATATTTGATTTTGTTGTTTTACATATTTAAAGATTTTTTAAAATTTTATACGGGGTGTTCATAAAGTATGACCATTGAGTTATCGCGATTCTGCTTACGGATTGTTTGTGGGGTGTAGAGGTTCGATAAGGAGGGGTTTCTCGAATCTCAAATTCAAAGAGGGTGAAAACGCCCCTCAAATATTACAATATTTGTTATTTAAAAAACGGTTAGTCTTTCGGGAAAACGCTTGGACACGCATAATTTATTTTGTTTTTTTACATATTTTGATTTTTTTAAAAAAATCATACAGGGCGTTCCAAAAAGTTGGATAATTGATTAACCACGATTCTGCTTAAACTGCTTGACGTAAAAAGCTTATTTTTGGCAAAGGGGTTTTTCGAAAGTCAAATTCCAACGAGATGATTACCCCTCAAATATTACCAAGTTATATAATAATATCGCCATATTGTTTTTTCTCATGCTGACATAAATGTGAGAAAATTTT